GTTTTTGATACTAGATTAACTTCTAAAGTATAATTTTTTTTGTTTTTATATTTTTCAATATATTTATTTTGTTTGTAAAAAATAAAGAAATAATTTTTAACGATACAATAGCCACGATTATTATTTTGAAAAGTTTACATTAGGCTTAACATCGACGAAAATTCAACGAGAAGCGACACGCAATGGAGAAAAATTTTAACACGGGATAGATTAATTAATATATTTTTTTCGTACATAATCGGTTATCCGAAAAATAAGTTATCCGAACAACCTCAGTCCCCAATTGATTCAAATAAACGACGCTCTACTGTACTTAATTCTAATAATCATGGAAGTTCAAGCCTAGAATCGAACCCGGATCCAAAATTTTATAAGCAATAATCTTTATCATAAAAAAAATGCTTTTAATATAAAAAAAAGTTTAATTTATTACTACTTTAATATTAGTAATTAGAAATTATTTTAAATTAATTTAAAAAAAAATAATTTAAATTTAAAAAATAAAAATTTACCTTAATAAAATCTGGCAACACTTAGTTTATATCAAGCATTCGAATCTCGTCTGGTTTTTAAATTTGCTGGTAGCATATATTATATAATGGCGGTCTTAATGATTCTAATCTTGTAGCGGACTGTTTATTTTTTTATATACATCGAGCCGAGATGATCACAATAATCTGTCGACCGTAAACGGAGATAAGACATTCAGATGAATATAAAGTAAGTATTTAGAAGTCGTTCTTAGCTTAAATTTGACAGTTTATCATTATCATCATTCTTCCTGCTTGAAATGTTTTCTAATCGCAGTTTGATTTTACAAAACTTATAATTGCTATAATAACACTTTGAATGTATGCTATTAACTCTACTCGTGTTACGCTGTTTGACGCACGCCAAGTCTTACATAATACAATTAGACATTTTTAATCTTTCTTACGCCGCCATGTTAGGCTTAATGTAATAATGGTCGCCATGTTGATAAACTGTTGCTTTATTTTAACGAGGATGGTTTAGCTGATAATTTGGCGTTTTTGTACTGATTTTACTTTCCTGTTTACGGCTGTTATATAACAGAGCGAAAGTATGACCATCGGTCAAAAATTACCCCTAAGATTTTTGTATTTTTTTGACTCGGTAGACCTCGAAACATTCAGAAATGCAAAAAAAGTTGGGTTTTTCTTTTCCTGTATGTATTGATATTTGCTTGTGTGTGTGTGAGGCACCCAGTTTGGAAGTTAACTCCTATGTCTTTTGTAGAATTCTTCTGAAACTTTGCAGGGAAGTTTGTGTATTAAGGAGGAATGTTTGTAGAAATTTCCTGGAAAATCGGATCATTGATTTTAGAGATATGACCCCAACCCCTTAATATCTCACGAACCAATCTAAAGACTTAAACGTATGGATATCGATTAAGTCTTTAGATTGGTATTGGTGATATGGTATGTATTATTAGGGATAAAAACAAGTAAAGAATGCCGAGAAAGTACGGCAACAACATTGCCATTTTTTTTTTCTTTTTTTTATGGCTATGGCTAATATGTCTGTGGTTTTGAGAATTGGTTAGTCGTCTAATAAATAAATATATGTTAAATATGTTCAGGATATATGCTTCTTTTTCTCCTCCTTCTAGTCCCCTTAAGGAACTTTTGAGGTACAACAGCTACAGAATTTATGCAGCTTGGCGAAAGAAGAGTTCATAAACTGTATAAATATTGTGAAATATGTAGCTTGGGCGTAGTACCATGCGATGACGCGTTGCGCATACGTTACCTATTTCAAACTATTTGTACTTATAAACTATGCGCTTTAATTAGCTTTTTACTTGCAAATTTAAAATTGAAACTCTCTATTCAGTTAAAAGAGGTATATATTACTTTTTCTATTACCAAGATCGAATTCAGATATTATTTAAGAAATTTAAATCTAAAATTTCTATAAGTCCGAAAAAGTCCTGTGGAGTTTATTAGCTTTGCTTGGGATATTTATCTATACTTTCTACTCATTATTTTAGAAATTTAATCTTAATTTAAAGTTTAAATCCAGTTCTTTGATGAATTTTATTCATGGGAAAAACCTGTCTGGATCACATAATATAACAAAGTATTGATTATAAAATTTATACAATAAAAAAAGTTTAAAACAATCAAAATAAAAATTGCAATATAAATTAAAATTAGACGTTACATTTTTTGCATTATAAACTAATCAGAATCTAAAAGTAACGCGATAACGCCTATCCCTCCGAGACCTCTTTTAAGTATTATTATTGAAAATAACGTTTTTTATTAATCCTAGGGGAAGAAAGAACATGATAAACACTTTGCAAGCAAATACGATTTAGATAAAAGAGTTGATAAATGTCAACCTTTTAAAAGATTTGACTAAAAAACAACAAATCAGATTTTTTTCTGCAGAAAAATCTGCATAAAGATGGTATAAAAGGTTTGTTTTGGACAAAAGGGACATCGATGGAATCTGCCGATAAAGATGAGAGAACCTGTAAGTCACGTAAAAAGTTAGGAAACAATCAAATTTTTAATGAAAAAAATTGTTTCATTATTTTCCATGTTGTTCAATTATTTTCATTTTTGGCAACCACACCCATTCTTAAGACATTCTCGGCGTTAAACTTATTGTTATAAAATCTTTTTGCACCGGTTCTATATTATTCTGCTTACAGACAAGTATTAAAATATTCCAAACTTATAAAGATTTAGCTAAATCTCACAACATATAAAATATTCCAAAAGCTTGTTGGCCGCGGGCTTACGGTATTAATATTTATCAACTAACCTCTAAACTCGTTATTAAAAAGTTCTTTGGCTTACTTTGTTTTTCGAACGTTTATAGAAGCCAAACAAAAAGCCAATCATTATTCTTCCATAAATAATAATCTGTCAGGAGTGCTAATTGAGTGTTAGCGGTCTCTCCTCTACCCTCAAAAAACTACAATAAAAAATTCAAAGCCGAGGATGGTCGAGCATGTTTTTTTTTTTTTTTTTTTCTTTTCACCTTCCGCGGGTTAGTAGCACTGTTCCCGAGTAATTATTTCCACGTAGGACCATAAAATTCGGTTTACTTCGCCTTATTTAAGAAAATTCTCCGGATTATTCGAGCATTATTAGAATACGTTAGTGGAAAGTAGAGTCAAAAAGTTCTTCTAAACACTTTCCGGACCGTATTAGAAATTTATTTATTCGCACGGTGTCGTATTTCGGTCGAAAGACCTTAATTAAAATTCACACGACGGAATTAGACTTCTTCTTCTTAGTGGATACTTTATTGCCTTTCAATGTTTTCCTGGCCAATGCGCCAAATAAAATAAGAAAAACCCTTTAAAACGGATTAGATTGCACCTGTTTGCATTAGGCTACGCATTCACTGGACAAACTATCGACAGCCGTTTATCAAAGTAGCCAAGAATTTGTTTGTTAATGCATAAAAGTGATAGAAATGATTTCGAATTAATTTATAAAGATGACATATTCATCGAGGAATTCTAATTATCTAAACGCGTAGAGGATTTTAACCTGGCACGTAAATTTTCTTAAAAAATCGACATTCGGGAAGGACAGATAATTATAAATCTTTAGAATTTTATTATGCTAATTTCGACTTTTTTCCAAAATCGACGAAATATTTAATCTCGTTTTGCTCGCTTTCTGAATGCTGAAGAGCTAAGCGTTATCTTTCGTGTCGAAATTCGCCTACGATAGTCATCAGCACTCTATATTTTTAGTAATCGTATTAACAGGAATAGATCTAAAATGATAACTCCGGGTAATCGTGGTTAAAATCTTGGATTTTTACTTTTATATCCGTATAAAAATTTTTATTACGTATTATTATTATTTTTTTTTGAAAATTAAAATACGAATTTAGAAATTTTTTGAAATATTTAGTCACTTAAGTAATCCTTCAGATAGATGAGTCTAATTAAAGATAATTATGTTTCCTTTCGCAACGAAAAATATTAGTAAAATGATTTATTTTAGGAATGTAGGCTATAATAACTAGTTTCAAGAAAGAAATTAATCTTTATAAGTTGATTTATTTTATTCTCCAGCTCGTATATGTTGAAAGACCTGTATAATACGTTCGAATGTAGAATGTGAAATAATTGTTTCTATGGAAATTATTCACTTCCGAATCGTTCTGGAATATTAGTTTTCGTTACAGTTGATTTCGATATAAAAATTAAGAGAATGTACCATCCGAAAATTCTCTTAAAGTTAGATTTCAATTTTGAAAAATGGCAGTAATTACCTACTGCAATTTTAGGTTCTTTTGCAATATGGTATAATAATAACGGTTCAAGTTTATGGAATTTTGGATACGCCAAAGTTAAGATTTATTAAATATAAAGATAAGTCTTCTGCTCTTCTTGGCTGAAATCTAATAAATCTTATGCAAAATTTAACTAATTTACGAGATCAAATGTTTTCTCAACGTGTAATTTGAAAGATTTCAACAGAATTTATCCTTGTGTTATTTTTTCAAATGTGATGTTCCTGTAGTTCTTTTACTTGTTAAGTCTATATTCAATGAAGCAATACTAATAAAAAAAAACTTGAGAATTTCTCGCCACGTCTATGCTGAGTTAACGGTACATAATATATTTTTACTAAAGTTAATACGTCAAATCGGTTTTGAAACTTGACAATATTACTTGATGCAAGATAATTGCTAAATCTGTGCAAGGAATCAATGTTATGAAATCTGTCAACTTTAGATGATTGAAAAATTTGACAATTCTCTAGTAAATATTTTCATTCGGGTAAAATAAAAATGATATAAAACTAAGAATTCACGATTAGAACTTGCAGACGATTTTGGTATTCACAAGAAACGAATCAGTCTTGATCCATTGTCTGACACAGAATAATTTTGAAAAGAAATATAGGTCCGATAATCTTTCAATTGATTACAATGTTAATATAAAGACGAAACATCTCGAAACGAATAGAAAATCAGTGAATACAGTTTTACATCCTCTTGGAATGATTGATCATTTCGAAGAAAATCTCTCTCTCTCTTTTTTTTTTCATATTACAAGAGGGGATAAGTGATACTTTAGTGAAAGATTGATCTTAAATTAAGCTTACCGAACTAATATTAAGAAGTTAAAGTACTTTCAGCTTCTGTATCAACTGTATTTTAAGTTTGAAATTTAAAGAGATCGGATATATTTAATGATTTTTCGATTCGAAGTCTAAGACGTGTCAAAGCGACTATTATTTATTAAAATGATCCATTATAGCGATTCTTTGCCGTGGACATTGTTCGTATAAATACAGAGTGGCCCAAAAGTCGGCTAACCATTGTAAAGATTAAACACCTTATTCAAATATTTTATTACTTACGAACTTTACGAGAATTGCTAAAAATGGCATTGTTATTGTTCAATAGGCTTACGAAAATCATGGTTAACTGATTTTTGAGTCACCTTTAACATAGAGGCCTCGATACATTTGAAAAATTTTAATTATATTTTCAGTTTTTATCTGCCGAAATCAATTTAATAACCAAAACTGTTAAGGGTGAGCATCAGTTACAGGTTGTTGCGGATCACCGAACACGATTTTTGTTTTCGTCGCTCACAAAACAAAAATTATGTTTACGTATAAAGTTACACGATAAAAGAAACAAAAAAATTATAAATTAATTTATGCAAGTTTCTCGACTGAACATCATAGTTAAAAGCTTGATTAATTAATGTTTGATTACGTTAGCGTCGTTCAACTCGAAAATACTTAAAGAAAATTATGTAATTACTTAAAATTGTTTGTTTTAAATTTTATATAAAAAATAAATTGGCATTCATTACTGTTTTGACCTTGAATTTCGACCTGTTGAAGTTTGGAATGAAAATTATCGGATTCACATCGATTCCAGGAGAAGAGCAATTAGCCACTGAAGGTGTGACAACAGAAAAAAAAATACTGGAACTATCGAAATAGATCACTTGTCAGTCCAGCTGATTAATATTTTTGCTTTCCATTATAATAATTTAAACAATAGCATACTAATAACATTTTCGTTTAAAACTTTCTCATCAGAGATGCTTATAAATTGAAAAACAAAAAAAAATTCACTCTAGGTAGGTTTACGTAGCAACACAAACAGAAGAATAAGATGAAGCTAGTAGCAGAGAGTCTGTCATATTTTAATATTAATAACATAATTCAATCTTATTTTTTTCTTCAAGTATTTCAAGTTATGAGATGTCTAAGCCCCCTCAGCTTAGATGATAGTGCCTATATGCAGTATAGACTATATAATACAGTATATGATTTCTCTTTCTTCAGGTAAATTTAGTTTACTGTTACTTATTTTTACTTAAACCGTAGCTAATAGGTCTAGTGATGGCTGAAAAAAATACCAGTCACAGTTTTTTCACTTTGCCCCTATATTCCCCATTGATTTATGTATTGCGTGGACTGTTTTAAAGGTAAACAACGTTAACATAATCAAACACTAATTAATCAAGCTTTAAACGCACGAGTTTCTATCAAGGAACTTCCTTAAATTATACAGAAGTTGTTTCTAAATTTTGATATAAATTTGAATATATAGGCCTATATTTATGTGTAAGTGTAAAAGTAAACTAAAGTCAGCTGCCACTTAAGTATAAATTTAAACCATTACAATTCGTAGTTTTTGAATATTTAGTAATGTAATGAAATGATTTTTCCCTTTTATGTTTGTATGAAACTAATCACTGAAACCTGTGTATATGTTATTCAATTTCTATAAATCAATCAAATACAATAGCATATATAACACATAATTTGTGTATTTTTGGGTTGCAGTTTTATTTAAACAACATGGGGAAACTCTTAACTTTTTACTTGAATCCTCTTGCTAAATATCTGACTGAGTTACTGATGCCATACAATAAACTAGGATATAAATAATAACAAAAAAGTACACAAAATATAGAAGGCATAAACACTAAGGCATAGTAGGACTATACTGGTGTATCAGGTACTGTACGGTACTGTACATATTTTATCATTTAGAGATTATACATTTTCTTCGTTGTGTAGTTCTTTATATTTGCAAAACGAAAAGAAATTGTGATATTTCCCACTATGTAATAGATACTACGTTCAATATTGTTAAAAGACAACTGGAGGTACTTGGCTTCCTAATCAAGTTCGTTATCTTCAACGACTCATAGAAATCTTTAATCGATTCTATCAGGTGTATTGACAACATTCGTAAATTTATTTTACAATATCGGCATTAACGATTTTCCGTCTTTTTCTAAAGGATATTTTATAGGTCGTTAGGTATATCCGTCGAAGAAGGATGATTCGGAATGATTGTTCTAAACACGCGACACGCCCGAATGGCTACCAAGTCTTCTGCACTTCTAAGAAAGGAGGGACGGTATTTCCCCGCTGTGGGGAATTTGCTCACGTGCGCGATTCCCTCCCCAGCACAAACTGAGGTTTCAGAATAGCAGAGTTTGGTTCGCACCTTGTTCTTGGCCGTCGGGAATGAAATATTTCATTTTCTGTTACGGGCAAAACGATTTCTTCCCTCCCGTGTTCGTTTGACGGATCGAAAATTAGAAAATATTAATGGAAAATCTTATTGATTATAGGTCTATTACAAAACATAATTTCGTATGATATACCAAAACTACAGTTTATTTTTATTTTTTCTTATAAAGACGGGATAATTAATCGTTTAAATTAAACCATACGACAACTAAACCTGTTTAACCCGATGTTTTACACTTTTTTTCTTTTGTTACTTGTTTTTCTGCTAGAATTGTTCCGAGTAGAAAATGAAAGTTTCGTTTGTCAAATGAATTAGTATATAAAAATTGAGTAAAATTTCTCGTTAAATTTTATCGAATAATTTAGATACAATGCATCCTTAATGTCGATAACTTGCTGACTGACATTTTAAGGCGCATATCCTCGTAGGGTCGTGTTGCGTTGCGTGTTGTTGACTTGTAATATTACCCTTCTGAGAAAATTCCTTTTATTTTACATAAAATATACAGGTTTTATTAAATTATTTTGCTTTGAAAAAATAGAAATAGGTTATAATTTATTGATATTCAGTTGATTATATATTTATTCCGATGATTTTCGTGCCGTAAGAGATCCAAATTATTATTAAGTTATTCTATCTGACTTGTGAGGCCGAGGAAGACGGAGATTAGTCTTCAGATGAAACTGATAGAAAATAAAAACGTATTAATTCGAAAATATAACACTACACTTTAGTTTATTAATTGGACGTCTGCTTATGTTGATCAGAAGAATACCAACGCCATTCTTCCAGATTCGCGATAAGAATCGTAACAGGGAAGAGGTCAGTCCCTAGAATTTCTCAAAATTAAGTTTCTCGCATTAAAAAAATAGAGTAAATATACTAAAACGAGTAAGCAAGTTTAGAGCACTCGAAGAGCTATTTTTCAAAATATACAAGAATACAACGTGAGCTATATAAATACACGTTTTGCATTTATAACAACGCGTCTAAGTTTCTCCACGTGTAAAAATATCTTCCGAAATCCCATTAAAGATGCACAAAAATCAAAGTTTGTTATAGACCTATATCTTCCATATTTTCTATTTTAGCTGTATGCAAATAGTCCTCTCTTTAAGAAGGATCACGCTTTCGATTCTATCAGTGATAGTAGTATTTAGTTTCTCTATTTTTAATCAAATTTACAATTAGAATTACTTAAAATAGTTATTACTCGTTTCGCTAGCAATTTTTTTTTATTTTTACATTTTATATCAAAAACGTACAAAGTGAATGAAGAACCAACTTGGATCTTAATTTGGTAACACAACAGCTATAAATATCGAAACCCTTACTTTCGGCTGGTTAGGACCGGTTCGTGACGGCTCGGTAAAAAAATAAATAAATAAAAGAAGAGCAAGAAAAAGTTAACGCTTAAAAAATAGCATTTTCTCGCCGTGCATTCATGTAATTTTAACCCATGCAGTACACGGTTAAAACCGATAGTACGTGCTAAAAATTATACAAGAGTGCATCGAGCACTCATACAATTTTTATTCGATGCAGTATAGATTCTTACAAAAAAAACTGTACTTACTGCTGTTTATTGCTTTTAAGATTACGTATTGAATGACCTTCCTCTCATTAAGATCTCTTCATTTATTAAGTTTTGAAAGAAGTAACGAGAAACCAGCCAGATAGTGCTAATCATTATCTCTTTTCTACTTAAAAACTATCGATCTGCTACAAGAAAATATAGATCCAATCTGATCTCGCTAGTGGGTTACACACACAGGAGCAGTCATTGCCGTCCTATCGGATAATTATTTATAATTGTTGTTTTTTTAACTTTTCAAAAAGTAACTTGCGTGATATAATGTTTCCTTTCATTATGGATGTCTCTAGTTGGAACTTGATAGAGTAAGATTCTTTCAAGAAAGCCAGCGAGCGATTTGTAGGGAAAAAAATTACCATAAACCGTTCGACCGTTAATTTGCGTAAGTGAGACGTAAACTCGATATCGGAATTAATTATTTTTCTTCTGTTTTTTGCTAAAGACGTATCACTAACGAGATCGGATTCAAATTGTTGTCATGTCGACGTGTAACTTCGATTAACGATTACCGTCTTCCAGCAAGAATTTAAAATAGAGGTAAATGCGCCTGTAAAACACTTAAGATTTAATAAAATCTTGGAAAGAGGGGAATCCCCGCAATAAACCTTTGTATGCTACAGTTGTAACGCTTTTTCATATTGCATCTAGTAGCGGAGCGCTTCGTAACCCGGCTCCGCTTGTTTACTCTGTCCATGACAATAATCCATTTAATGGGTAAAAGACTATTGCCGTGGTAACTCGAACGACGTGTTTTACGAGAGAAAGAGGTTCGTCTCTTTCTGCTCGAGTTTTCGAAGATTTGCAAAATACCAGAAGTAATTTTGAGCTGTCACCTGCATACGTAAAGGGCTTAGTACTCTGTCTAGGTCATTATCTTCCGGGCCATCTCCGTCCAAATAGTAACACGAACGGAGCCACTTATAAGCGAGACGTATCCATTACTACGAATTATCCACCGGCTGATATTCGACACACACTCAGAGTCGAAGTGTTTCGTTCGACTGGACATAAAGATAAGTAGAAAAATCACTCCTACGTAGCTACTTCTAGAAATTTCTAACTTTGAACGGTTTCATTGTTCCCTAAATGGAACTCTTCTCCGGGAAGAGGACCTCCTGGGCGTCTTTGTCAACACTTGACTAAAGCTATTCTTTCTCCAATACGCTACCCCAAGTGTTTGAGTACTCAATCGTCGGTTGTTGCAACTTTTGTCAAGGACGCGATCTTCTCGTGCAAATAATTCTCTTATTTATTGTCACTCTCGGCGAAGAATAACTCTTTTTAGAAAGTTCATATCTAAGTCTATAGCCAAGTTGTCACCGTCACGTCGCACCTCACAGGTGTTACGCTTCTCGATTCGACCCGCGTTTTCTTATTTCTAAGTGGTTCGGCAGTTTCTTCGCTTCGCCGTTCAGATATTTTTAAAAATGTTACCACGGCCGACGATTAGAGGGCTAAATTCGATAACAAGCAGTTAAAAGTGAAAATAATAAACACAAAGGGCATAATAATAAACCACTTTAATTCCATGACATTCTATAACGGATCAACAGTAATTCATTAAAAAAAAGAAAAAGAACACTACATGATAAGTATACGAACTGTATATATATAAAAGTGAAGATGTACAACCAAAGATGAATGGCAACATTCCTATGGCCACAGCTATATACAGCAATGTACATTTCGGTATCTACACGCAGTTAAGATTTCGGTTTGTCCGTCTGTAGTTCTAAATGATCGGGGGCAGACCATCGTCTTTTCCTCTTGGCTTGGTTGGAGAAAGCCGTCTGAGGACCGGATAATTTGGTCACTTCCGTGGGTTGCCTCTGCGACTTACCGGCGTTGTTTTGAGGATTCGACAGAGTGGTAGCGGCGTCTCGATGCGTCAGAGAGATGCAAACGTCACCCACAGACAATTTGTGACAGGATAGGCCGTATCTCTGTCCGGATCTTTCGGGATCGCAGGAAGACCATCCTTGATTGAACACAAAGAAGGGATGCTCCACCGGCGCTTCCACCGTCACCTAAGGCATCGAAAACTTAAGATTAACATAAATGCATACTTCGGAATCTTTTCTATCGACAATTGCGCGATTTTAAATTAATTTCATTTTTAAGTCTCCCAACTTCACATCCAATAAGTAATTTTTAAGAAGGTCCTATTCCTTTTCGAAATAATTTACAAACTATCCACCAGATGGAGGCATATACCGATAATAAAATCGATACTCTGGATATTTTGCAAAAGTTCTGTGGTTTTGTTAATACGAGTACTGCGTTTTATCCGAAATTATAGCGTGTTTCACCAGATTTACAGCGACGGAGACGACGAAATAGTTAGGGAAATACTGTCTTAAAAGTCATCGAACATAAAACTCTATTAGGTATTTTCAAGACTAGTCAAAACGCAAAATCGCCTAGAGTGAAAAGTTGCCATTGTTAAACAATACAATTTTTAAAAGGCGCCTTAATATTATACGAGTTTAAATCAGAATATTAGTAGAATGGACCAGTAATCATTTTTTAGACAGGGCTGCACACTCAAACTAAGCAGTTAACTTCGTTATTTAAGCGAGTTTACCATGTAACAATATGGAGCATTTCGATGGCCCGTACTGCAAGACACAATATACGAAAACTGCTCTTACGTTCGAACGTGATGGAAAAAATAGTTTCGACACGTTAGTTGGTGGATTAGTACCAACGACCCCCCGAAACCAATTGGTTGCGATCTTCAATTGTTTAAGCCTACCTGTACTTCGTTGTGTCCCACGGAGAAACTCAAGCTGACCGAATCGGACGTCTGAGCCTTTTCGATCTTGATGACGGTACTGGAATCGATGCGAAGATCCGCACTGACTTCGGCACTTTGCAAGAAATCGTCCGTGCTCAAGTTCTCCACCTGCTTCAGTTGTCCGCTGGCTAACTGTATGATGGAGCCTTTCATGAAATACACGGGATACTGCAATTGAGGATTGGACGGCGATGTGTTCTGGCGTCGAACTTGCCAGTTACTCTGTTGGGATTTCGGTTGAGAATTGTTGGGAGCGATCACTCGCGGGAGTTTGGCCGAGGGTTCCTCCCTGTGTCTTTGAATGGGAGGCGCCGATAGAGGCGCCTCTCCCGCTAAACTGGCGGGTGGCTCTACGATGTGGATGCTAGGAGGACGTAAGATGCGGTGTTTGAGAGATCCCTCTTTTCCGGTAGGAACTCGATAGGATGCCGACGGTTGGGATTGCTCCTTGCCGACTTCGGAGCTCGATGTTTTCGTGTGTCTAGGTGACGAAATGGTTTCTTCCGCGCTTCGGCGAACTTTCGAAGTCTTGGTGGTGTCGCCGTGTCCTTGACCCTGAGTGTGAAGGCCGAAGGACTTGGAAGGACTGAAGTATTGTCTGGGTGGACTAGAATACGGTGATCCTTGGCCATACGGGTAGTAACCGGAGAAACTGGCAGCGTGAGCTTGGTAGAGATGGATGCCACTAGAGGTAGACGTCGACGAAGATGCGGGGTAGATGCGATTGTGGTCCGAACTTCCGGGTACGGCGGGAGGCGGGCGAAACAGACTACCGGAATTGCCGATAATCCTAGCCGAATCCGAACCGGTCATTTGAATGGGCGAGGTAGAAGAACGACGAGTCTTTTCACCGAGCCACACGTGCTGCTCGCCGCACGGATCGGTCGTAGCTGTCATGCCCTCTGGCCCATTCATGGGCACTTTGCCGATACCGCATGTGATGCTGCTGTCGGAGGAGCTGCGAGGTTTATTAATGACACGACACTTGATTGGGCTTCTCTCTTCTATTTTCACCGTCGGTCCAACAGGAGATTCTGTCAGACCTTCCTTGGGTTCCGCATTCCTGGTCGCTCTGGCTATTTCCTTCTCGAGTATTCTTTCCTTGGTTTCACCTCTGTTAACTATCGTAGGCGTCGTCTGTTTGAGAGAACCGAACCAGGATGGAGGAAAAGCGTAACTGGGCCAGTAGTAAGGACTCAGAGGCAACAGAGGGTCGTTGGCGAGAAGATCGTTGGCAGTGTGTCTGCTTCGGCACAGAGTGTAGTTGGGATGATTGATAGACAACATAGACCCCGCGCTTCCTGAAAAGAACACAAGACGGTTTGGAAATCATTTTTGGACAATTTTATTAGAAAAACCAGCATTTAACTCTAAATATAAACATATCCGACAACGAGGGTACGCCGAATAGCGAAATGCTCAAAAGTTTACGTCGAGCACCGCTTTTCCGTCACGACCCGTCTTTTTAATTAGTGAGTGAGGGGTTATTTTTGACTAGCTGCATACCTCTGGCTAGACAGAAACGTCTTCCAGAAGTTTGAAGGGCCTCCCGCTAGGTAAACAGAGGGATTAAGATACGAAGGAAAGTGTTAATACCCAGAAAAATGATTGATTTCGGTTAAGTAGCGATGCCCCGTCAGATATGTACTCGAAACATCTATCACAGACCATCTGGCATCTGACAACTGGTTCCTACTTGCCCTCTGGACACCAACGGCCCCTCGGACCTTCTCGTTTATTTTTATCGTGGTTTCGTCCTCGTCGGAGACAGCTGAGTAAAATGCCAATGACGTCATAGTAGCGTAATCAATAGACGATCGAATAGCTACCTATGACGTCAGACACTTACGTCATCACACACTGAATTCCTTTTTGTACTCCGAAGAGATCGAATTGCTTCGGAAACGAAAACTCCCTCTTTAAATCGAGAGTCACCGTTTGTTTCTCTTCTCCGAAAACAATGACGTATCACAACGTCGGTGACGTAACACTTGTTGCCGTTTCGTCTTAGGCGTCGCTCTTATAAATCGGGCAGGGAATACGATCGTTGCGACGAGATATCCTCTTCTGTCTCCGGAAGAGTTCGATAAAAGGACAAGGCGGATTATCCCCGAACGGGAGGAAGGGGCGAAGGTACCGGGATCGACGACGACACCGTGACGTCATTTTTGGAAACACGACGGCTACGCATAATCGACACTATTCGGAACAATAGTCGAAGAGCGGAGGAATTCGAGAAATGCGTCCAGCCGTGACGAAACGACCTTGGATTTGTCGGTAAAGCTCGACCGTACCCGATACGCGGCTGCTATATTTACTCCGATAGTACAGAAGGTCTTAAGAGTAATTCCCAAAACTTTCGTTACACCCCTAATTTTCCAACCCGAGGGCCCCGGGGCCTTTCTCGAAGCGTCGGCGATTAACGACACGTCTAACCGTCTGGTATTTTTTGGCCGATGGGTCATTCTCGTGTGACAATTTGCAAGCAATTAAGCGAGGCGGCAGGAGTAAACAGTGGTCGGAAATGAATCAGTAACAAGCCAAGTCTTGTGTGGGTAGCGATCCAGGGATGGCAGCCAAGTCACTGGCTCGAGTAAATACCATAGTACGAGTGCGTGGCGGGAGGGAACGCCGCATACCATCCGGCGGGGAAAGGGGAACGGCTGAAAAGAAAACTATCCAATGACCTAAACCCTACGCTCGGTTGCACAAAGATGCCCGGGACTAGCGCTAACCTCGAAGAATACACAATCCTCCCCCCCAGCGCGAGCGCAACGCGCACCTGCATCGCAATGACCTCTTGGACGCGCGTTACGCCGGCTGGCAATACGCGGCGTTATAGGACAGTTGGGTTAAGGTAGACGAGAGAATAACACACTCACCTCTACATTCCTTCTCCGCACGCCGTCAGCTGCCCTGGCAACAGCGGAGAAGCGCACATGGTTCCCAGACCGAGGCAATTGCGCAACCAGGCTGCGTGCACCATCGACAACGCACGAAAGAAGGCGACTAAACTTTTACTCTCTCGACGTTCTCCATGTATTTTTTCGTTCCACTTCACCCGGATTAGCCGTCGACGCATGCTCCGAACGGGGGAAGTACGCCGTGACGTCAGACCCGGGAGCTTCTTGGCAGAAAATAGCCCCTGCACTTTTTCGGGAGTAGCAGACGCCGTTCCTAAATTTTCTCCGGCTCTTAATAGCCGAAGCGGCAAAAAAATCCCCCGACGAAACGTGGACGGAGAGGCTGAATGGAGCAAAGGTGGCATTCCTCGCAAAAATATTCCGAAAAAGCGTGCTTTAGCGCCATCGGGCGCCAAAGTCGGAGCGCCGGAAAAGTTTGGCCGACAACGAATGTCTAGGGCCGACGGCGAAAAGGTCAATCACCCCGACACCTATCTACGTACAATTGAATGCTCCTCCCCTGCGCTACCCTCCACTTCCATTCGGAAAACCGTGCATAAACTTTTACGATTAAAAAGTCCCCTTTCTACTTCCCACCGCGCTACGTCCGACTAATGAAATTCGTAACACAGTTATTAAACTTGCGGCGCGACGCGTACGCGCTTTGCAGCGCGCCCGCGTTACTTATATTTTCGCGAGTAAGAGAGCGAAAACGCGGATTAGGCTGCGGGTGACGGAAAATAAGAGTGGTAAGTAAGCGAAGAGGAGTTAGGGCAGACACACAGATGCTCTTACCGTTGTCCGGTCGGAGAGTCGAGTAGGAGCCGTCCAGAGGCACCATTAAGTTGACGCCGGATCCACTCATAATGTCATGTGGCGGCCACGGGGTGGATGGGTTTAATGGGAGAAGCGCAGACCGCTCGTCGCTTACTTAAACGAGCGCGTCGGCCGCTTCCATCTCATTGGACTGTCGACTCGTCTCCTAGCAACCCGAGCACGTGTAGAACGCACCGTCCGCGCCTAGCTTCTACGCAACGACTGCAGCGCCTCACGTGGGCCGATTTGGAGTCGTCGTCATTCGACCACCCCTACCTGGGCTTCGGCTAATTACGCCTCTCGATTATCCGGGATGGAGGAGGTGGGTGGGACCGGGTTCGAGGATCGTATGGCACGGTCATCCGAAACTCTTTAATTAAAGAAGGGTGCCGTTTCGCGGAAGAATTCGACGATTCGTAGATCGTTAAACACTCGACACTTCGGCCGACTACCAAAGTGCTCATTATCCGACGAGACGGCATTAATTATTTATTATCCGCTATTAACCGATTACGTCGCTTTTTCCGGGAACGTTTTGTTCCCATTAAACTCGACCGGGGTGGTGACCACCGCAGACGTTCGTTGCGTCGCCCAACGTTATTTCTTTCTTTCCTTACGCTCGACCCCTCTTCTCGCGCCGCCGGAATCGCCGAAAACATCGGCGGCGTAGGCGGGAAGCGACAGGTGTGGACGGACGAAAGTCGACACTACAATACAGTTAACGATTCATTTCCTCACGCGTGACTATAAAGGTCACAGTTCGCTACTCCATGACGTATCGTATGCGTACCCCTCTGGAATTTCGCTCTTCCAGCTGTCGAGGTTGGGCAATGAGCTTTTAATCGGACGTGGGATTCGTCGTATCTAGTTTACAGAAGTCGGAGGGTGATATTAAGCGCGCGATAAGTGCCGAGCCACTATTTGCCGCTTCTTCTCCCATTAGCCTTTACATCCGTACGAAGCCCGAAAGCTTTTATTAATACCGCTTGGCGTATCTGGTGTTTGCCAGCCTAAAGTATTCAGACATTTATCGTTTCAAAAACGTAAACGGACGGGATGGGCTTTGTTTAATGCATTTTTAAAAACGCGCCGATGCCAGTGAGATGTGTTGTCTAATCGATTATCGAATGCTCCGAGAGACATGAATGAACGGAATCGGATGCGGTCCTGTAAAACGGACGTTTAAGTGAAAGCGAACAAATAACTATCTACACCGGTTGATGGAAGTCTGAACGAGTGTTGTCCGTGTTCTTCCAAAAACGCCAACACGTTCGGCCAAATTAGAAAAGTGAAGGTGTTTTTGGAAAGACGATTCGGCCGTTCGGATTAGATTCGAACGAGTAAATAAGAGTTTAGCCACCGAGCGAATACGTTCCGAACACTCGATGGAGCTTTTCGAGATTCGAACTCCCAGACCCGGTCGGCTAAAGACCGGATTCTTGGCCTGGTCTTTAACCTACAGTTCGGATGTTGCGCCATTATCGAACGGGATTTTCTGCACGTTTTGCAGCCTGTCGAGTATGCTCGCCTCGCTCCGGCGATTTGTCACTAGCGAAATTTTTCGATGGCTCGACTCTCGATTAAGTCGTCAGACGTAGTGACGTTTGCTAATTCATCATCTCGCTAGTTACCCCAAGAATGTCGAACGCAGCAATTTCGATATCTGAGGGTCGAAATTAATCTAAAAAAAAATGCCGATCCTTCGCTAGACCCCCGATATTCGAGAGTTCGAGACAGATTACATCGACAAACGGGTTTTCCACTCGGAACGTGACGTTTCGGAAGAGTGTGATCCACCTTTCCAGACACCTGCAACTCCACCTCAAACTCATAACAAAATAATTCTTGCCGAGTAATGTCTCCTTAACTGTAGAATATATATTCGGGGTGAGGGCCGATTAGTTAATTTTCCAATCACGATCTTAGTCATGCAAGTGACTCGCTCCTCTTACTAAATCGTGTTCCATCTAATTAACCATACCTCTGCATCTTAAAAAGTTTTCTACTTTTTATCGACATACTTTAAATATTCCTGCAGGTGTCAAAAATCGGCCCTGTTCGCAAAAATCTGGTTCGTCCCCTCTCGCTTACGTGCGATCGCAGTGCGCTCGAGAAAAATCTTCATAAATATGCATCCTGCAAAATTTCGGCTTGCCAAACGAATTTTGTTGCATAGCAAATTCGCTTTCTCCATTATCGAATCATATTTTGCAGAAATTTATTTTGTTTATTGCGTTTAAACGGAGAGTTTTACAGGCTAAAACCTATTAAGATGCTCGAAGCAATGTAATTTGCGATTAAAATATATTTACGACCGTCTTTCTACATTGCATCGGTTACGTTTTCTAACCAAACTGTGCATTCTATTAAGAATTCCGATCGGAAATTTGCTCGTTCTGCTACGAAATTTCGATAAATGCACAAATTTTCTACTCATTCCGTCGAAAAATCAAAATAAATTTTATCTTAAATATTTGCTAACTTTCTGTTGCATGTTTTTGCAAAAAATTTCTTTGGCGTGGACAAAATTAAAAGTTTAGATCCGAGGTTCTTCCACTTTAAAACTGCTGGTCGAATCAAATTTCATTTTGCACGGCTCTTCTGCAAACATGCATCAAATTAAAAATTCAATAATTGTTTTCGGTAGATAAGATCTTCGTCTCACATCGTTGAAAAAAGTCAGTGTTGAAGATTTTGTTTGTCAGAATCATCTTCAGATCGTCGGCCCAGATGACGATACGTATGCCAATTTAAGAAATCCTGTGTACTCTTATCTGATGAATCGGGGTAGATGAAAGTGGAAGAATCAGTTGTCAGCGGAGAGATTTTCTTATTGAAGGAGAAGAAAAAGTTAATATCTCATCAAGGGGCTTTCATAGATCTTATTCAGAGCGAAATGCTTAGATAGCGAGTGAAAAACAAACTATTTGTTTTTGCCTAAAGCATGAATACTGGCTGATTACGGAGCGACAAAACAAAAGGTCGCCGTCGTTGACTTTTTAACAGGTCTGATTTAACCGCGTGCTCGCACTCGATCGATTTTCGCTTCGATATTTGATCGATCGCAACGTTTTCGATCGATCAGGACGGAGAGACGGTATAGGTAGAAGGCGACCGGTTAGTCGAGCCATGAATAATGATGGCTCCTTATCTCCAGTTATCTATTCGTAGCTAAAGACCCTTTGCTTAATCGCATGGGCGCTGCTGCGACAGTCGTCGAAACTTTAGCATAATTGATAATTGGCAAGATAGTGTTGGCGAGATGCTAACTTAATTCGTTTACATTACGTCTCTATAAAATTCTGGATCTCGATCTTATTTGAACCTGTTTCTGGAAGGTAATCGCTGTCTCTGCTTCAACAGAGGGCGGATGTATATGGAAATTGCTAGACCAAATTGAAGTAGCGGGTTTTGCTTACATCCACTCTCTCTCGAAGTAAGTATTGTGTTACAATAGTCGAAGAATCTGTAGATTCTAGAAAGTATCTAAAGAGATGATTATTTTGGAAGGCACCAAAGAATCCATATCCTCCCGAGGCAAAGATTATTGTAGAAAGTATCGAAGTCCGTAACAGAAGAAATGCTGCATTTTTCGATTTACTAGGCTAGTACATCCCCGAGGATTAATTAGTCGTTCGAAGAAAGTTGTAGCAGCAGAAAGACGAATCTCGTAGAGAGAATCCGTAGAGAAACGCCCGGGGGTGTCTCACAAGCTCAGTTAAGGTCAGGCGCATTATACCAGAAGAATAGTGCTTTAATACATTATCCACCCCTCTCCCTCCACCAGCTATTATCCACAGTGCCTATTGTTTACACCGTCACTTCGCTTGGCTTAACTAATTCATACGTTATCGAGTTCGTTATTAATGACGTGTGAAATTGTTACTATTTCGCGGTTACGGCTTTTTTTTCTTCTACCCAGTTATTAAGGTTTAAATTCCGCGGATCGGAAAAAAAAGGCAGAAGTTGAATTTCTCTTCTCAGTCGGGCGCTGGCAGCCGCGTTTAGAGTCTGGCGAAACCCTCGAGCTCCCCCTTATAGTAGAAGGGATTTATATGTTTCGTCACTCTTATTTACGTTTTCTTCGAAGCGGTCGGAGAGGGTTCGAACGGATACACGTGTCGATGCACGTCGTGGACATCCCGGGCAGGAGAATTCGAACGTAGATGGTTGCTTCCTGCACCGCTCATCTCCGGTTGCCGGGCGACGCCGACCCGGGCAACAACGTCTAACCCCATTAGATCAATAGAAGTTTCAAGGTCGGGCAAGGGCGGTGTTGCCACGGCAACCGCTGATGCGGCGATATGCCAACAACACGTGTGTCCGGGGATAAACAAGTCCAAATTCAGTGGCAGAAAGACGGAAAAGAGCGTCGTGATTCCCTTAATTATCATGGCGGACACGAATCGCCCACGGTCGAGCGCACCTGCACTTTCGTCCTTTTTATGCTCTATTACGCGATACTTTCTGCTAATTGTTAAATTTTCACTTAACTCGGCAGCACACGGCCTCTTGCCAATGGATCGTCCTACACGGGTTTAGTCGAGTCGAACGAACCCACGTTCGCACCCGAACCCCATTACCTCCGACGATCGAAAATGCGACATTGCTTCCAGGTACGGATGCAACGCTTGCAAATTTTAAATTAACTTCGTTTCTACAGGAATTAATTCACGGAAAAAAACGGGATTAGCATTATGTTTGGAGTGTAAACTCTACCGCGTAGAGAAATGACAATTTCTAGAAGTCGCGACACCCCTCTAGAAGAAACCTTTCCGTTGACACCACGTCAAAATTACACTTAATTAACAAAACATTTCGATCGGCCACGCAATTATAGAACTTTTAGATTATTTAGTGAACCAAAATCTTGCTATCGATGATGCAGAATTAGATCTTTTTCTATAGATGCTGGTACAGTTCCCACTTTGTCGAAATCTCTCATAAAATTCGGGCAACTTCTGAATGAATCGGTCGAGTTCAATTGCGTACGGATTGAGGAATACTAAAATGTTTTTCCATAAAATTAAGATAAAGAAAAATCCAGGATATCTACTCTGATTCGGCATGGTGCGGATTTCTGTAGTAAGTGTGGCTTATTAAAATAAGTGCAAGCAAGGAAATAATGGCAAATTCTGGAAGAATATCGGATCATTTCTGAAAGAAATCAAAATCTAGATCATTTCCATTTAACTACTTGGAATTTCTCAGAAGATGCTATTGTGTCATCCATGTAAATGACCATTCCTCTAGACTATTTTAGTCGAAAGCTTCTAGAAGAATAATTCCGAGAATTCTACAGTAGTTCTAAGAATGTAACGTAGAGTGCCAGAGTCATTTGTAACCGGGGGAATTCTAAGAATGCGTGTAGAGATAAAGGGAAAGATAGGGTGGCAAATTTCGATATTTAGTGGAGGTGGAACGGTCCGAGGACAACGTCCTCGGAAGATATAGGCGAGAACACCTGTGTCCAGGTGCAGTCGGTCGGAAGAATGAACGGTAAATAGGCTCTTTGGTCGAGCAATTAGCCGACTTCTGCCAAGATATCTTTGTCGGTCCATAACGAAATTCGGCGCTGTCCACCCGAAACGGCGTGCAAGAAGCCAACAAGTTTATTGGCACCGCACGCTCCGCCTCTCGATGCGCGTGCCAACAAAGAACACACACACACAAAAAAATTTCCAATCCTGGGCAGGTTTTTCGGATATTATCGAGAATTTACGATCGAAGGACATTCGTCAATTCGGCTAGATCGATCGTCTCAGACAGGACCGCCAATCCCGACACGAAACGGGGTCGTTCGCTCGCGGCCGAAGATCCCCCCGTCGTAAACTGTCAATGGTCGAGGAGGGATAAGTATCGATTACGATCAAGATATCTGTCGTTCGACGTTATACTTTCAATTTAGACGATGGAATTATTAGTTAGATTATAACTTTTTTTCAGTTTTTCAAGTCTTGATTTATAGTCTGTGGTGCAAGATTACAAAAACGCTCGAATGCAATGACACTTAAGCGCAGAAACTATGTTCTGCAGACCTGTTGATAATTGTAATACCGTTTAGGCATGCACGAATGAAAACCGACGAGCTCTTATCCGGCCGAAATTTCGGTACATTCTATTAAAACATTCGACTTTAAAACGATTTTCACTCTTTCCTCGCAACTCTTACAAAGCTGAAAAAAGTAAAGAAGAGCGAAAGAAAGTGATATATTCTGCATAAATAATTTTTCTCACCAAGTTAGACAAAGTGTATTTATGCCTACAGACATCTGGACCGTCCTTGCATTGTCTTAGCATTACTTTTTTCTCGTCTTTGATTAATTCAATTTTTTCGTTAGGTCGGACGCAGTTGGCCATACCGAAAATAAAACTTTTCCATTCCGCATAAAGTATATTTCGTTTCGAGTAACGTGCAAAATGCTCGTAACAATACGTAAAGCGTTAGCGTTACTCCATGCACTTTCGTACTAGCGACCTAATGTCCCATAAATCAAGAATGTCAAGTGATGTAGAAATTTTTGCGGATGTTTACGAATTTACGTTGGAAAGAACGAATTGTTAAATAAAAACTGAAAGGAAAGCAATTCAGTGAAGGAGAAGACAGTTTTTGTGTTCTAAAATTATCGAATGGCGAATGAACGAGTAGATTTTTTCGAACAATGAGTCGAAGCTCCCGACAACAATGGCAGAATTCACCAAAGTCTTTGGAGTTGCCCCGTTTCGGGTGGTGCAAAAATCCCGCGCCAGGATCCTCGAATATAAACGTTTAAACTCGTTCATTGAAGACAGAAATTCCTCTATTCTAAATGAAAGTTTCGTGTAAATCGAGAGGGACTATTATTTTTTCTGCACTTTTCTAGACGATGTCGGACCTATACCCAACCAACAATTGTAAGGAAAGAGGCGGCTCGACTCTCACCTGACCCTCTTCGTCTGGCATCTGTCTGACCTCTCCTCCGATTACGTCATTCGAGAGGCCCCTATTCATTCAGAATGGCGCGCATACCGCTTGTACGAGAAGATGCGCAGGTGGGTTCTCTACATTCCTGCACATCTTAACAACTGCGATAAAAAGGGTTTATTATTGGACAGTCGCTGGACGGCTGTAACTTACAAGATTAATTTTGATCCTCTGTTAGGTAATTAGTTCCTGGGAGATTTCTTGTGTTTGTTCTCTTTCACATTAACGCATAAATCGTCGGTAAACTGGGTCGGCCGCTAAGACTCTCTAACGTTTTGCTGCAGATTTTTGCTAGAAAATCGCCGAATCGCGAATCCAGCCATGCATTTAAGAACAATATACACATTCCATACCTCCCATTTACTTCTATATTTGAGCGTTTTATGCTGTAAAATGGATAAATATGCTATAATATTGTTGAGACATGAACACCTTACTACAGAATATCTCCATTTTTATGAAAAAAAAGAAGGAAATCCTTAAACTGCGATTTACACAAGTAGTTTTAAGAGTAATCGGTTCATTCTACGTCCCGTTTATTTCTATTTTTAACTATTTACGAGCGTAAAATAATTGTATATAGTATAACGATAACCGGTTATATAATATTGCTAGAAGGATGAACACTAGTATAGAACATTGTCACTTTAGTAAAAAAATCCACATAGTGTATATCGCACAAGAGAAAGAGCTAAGATGCTAAGCTGCTTATTCTATGCTCTGTTCGTTTCTATATATAATTGCTTATGCTCGTAAGGTATACTTATATATAACATAGTAACTGAATGGCAAGGTCCTATTGTGAAAAATTTACCCCTAAAGTTTTTACTTTAGGGGTAAACTTTTCACAATAGGACCTTGCCATTTTTGTAAAATACTCGTTAAATCGCTACTCGAAGGAGAAGTTTAAGGAGTCACGTATATAATTTATTCACTTCACACCCGATTTATTTCCATATTTAATCATTTTTTACCCACGACGGGGCATATGTATAATGGTAACCTGTTACAGGAAAATGCGCTGGAGGGATGAGTTCTCCGTAAATTCTGGTAACTAAATCGCGGCTAAAGAAGGAAATTTTACACATTTTAAATCCGGATTATATTCGTATTTAACTGTTATTGGCAAGTTTCGGATCGTAACCGTTGTTACTTAGAAGGGAGAGAACACGCGGATCTATCGACTTTGCGAGAAAATCGCTAAATCGCGAACGGAGAGAGAGGAGTTTTAAGAGTAATCTAGTCATTTTATGTCCGATTTATTTCCATATTTAGCCATTTTTCGCTCGTAAGAGAGCACATAATGAGTAACCGGTTACAGAACATACGCTGGAGGGTTATATAATAGACAACTCGGTAAAAGGTTAGTTTTGTTTTACAGCGCGGTTTACGACTCTCGTTCATGCTTTTCTCTCTTACAAGATGACAAACTCTTCTCGATCAATAAAGACACTTTACGATTCAAATTCGCTCTTTGTTCGGTAATTATAGATTATAAACGAGATGTTCGTAACTGTTTCCTCCTTAACGACCGACTTGTTAACACGCTACTTCTAGAAAAACCTACGGAATTTCGTTGTGGTCTCCCACACCATCGATATTTCTGCTTTCTAAGTAACGAAATTTAACAGTTTATTTAGCTAATACGAGACGTTTAGCATTCGAAAAATTCGGATTACATTGGCAAAAATTTAGCAGTTACGCACGAGATTTTTGTAGCTTTTTAGATGGTCGCATTACAATTTTATAGCTTTTTGATTGGTCAGTTTTCGGGTGTAATTGCTCGTATTTATGAGGTACTTGCAGTGATGTTTTGCAATATTTAAACTATCAAATTATGGACGGTATGATTCATTTTATTTACTTTTCTTTTATAATCAAATATGTGATATTTGCAGTTGTTTTCTAGTCGTTCAACTGTTTGCCATTTTCTCCAATGCATTTTTTTGTAGTGTTTTCATTGGTTAGTGTTCAGGTGATGCTTGAGAGGTTTTTTCAAAGCGGCCTTTTAATTAGTCGTATATGCGATAGGTATCACGATATGCGACGTTTTTAGTCTTTAAACTGGAGAAATTTAATTAATTTTGTAGCTATTAGATCACTGATACAATTAAATTTTAAATATTCGAATTTTAAGTCATTTTATACATTATAAACTTGGAAATTTGGTCATTTTTTAAAAGTTTTTAGTAAATATATTCGTCCGATCGGCGAGTCATTTAACATTAATGCCCCTAAAACGGGAGACAGTTTAGTTTAAAACTTCATTTTGAGAGTAATAATTACCTAATTTTACCGATTTGAGGTTTTTTTTTATACAGTCGCGATGCTTTATAAGTAATTTAAATCTTCACGACAACTATGCTCTTCTTTTTAATTGATATATCGGAAAAGTATTCTGTAATTTGTGTAACGTTTCAGTCAGGCGTAACTTTATGCTCAAGTGAAGTTTTAACATTATGCAAGCTTGTTTAGAATTTCGGCCGGGGAGATTTTAGTTAAAGCAGCTTTTACAAGCCATATTTGAGGTTGTTTCCTAGCTTTCGCAGTGTAATAATAGACTAATGCTAAGTGTAATAGATAGCCTATAGCTCTTACATTCGCATCTGACCTGTCAAATCAGTGCACGGAGGCTAAGAGCAGGGGTGTTGTAGTGTTCTGGGAGTCGTTTTATCTAGAAGAGAGTCTTCCAAATTCGGGTCTGCAAACGATAAGAATTGGGCTAAATTTACTTTAAGAGTTATTAAAGGTCAAACGAGAAAACGACTTTCGGATATCGGTCACGGGCCGCCTGTTCTTTTATTTGTATTTGGACAGCACGAGCGAATGTCACAACAGGGAATGACGAGGCCGCTCCTCCCACTCTGCACTTAATGATACTTCGGAGGTAGAAAGAGCCTTTTTTTTCCTCTCGCTCTATCCGCGGTCACGAGAGGCTCGTGACGAGAAACTATTCGTCACGCTCTCGTAATTTCACGATTATAGTGTGCGATTTCATTAACAAAGACACCTGCGACTCCACGCGTGGCCAACGACACGCTCCAACCCCTACTTATTAAATGGCGTTATTAATTAAAGGAGGGATGCAGAATACTACACTGGCGAATTATTCGAGCGTCTCTTTTCACAACCGCTCTTCAATGTCAGTCGGCTTCTTGAAAGAAAGGCTATTTTTGACAGAATGGTCCGCTAATATCGCTCGTCTGAAGAGGAGGATCTTTCTGGCAGATTTTCAAGACGATGAGGGCACCGCGTTGCCAGAAATAAAAGCGTGGCGCGATGGCTGACCGAACAGAGTATTTATAACATTAACGGGAAATGCAGACAGACGGCAGACTCGGAACACGAACAGAGTCGTCCTTGAACACAAGTGACCACTCGGAAGCGTAGAACGCGCGTGGCTGCGCTCTTCTGTCCCCCTTTACGCAAATGTCGAGTAGGAGCGTCGGAAATTACGCCAAAGTGGAGAAAAAGTGGGGAATTTGGAGGGTATTTTCGGTTTTTGGAAAGGGTGGAAGAACTTTTTTCCAGTCGAAAGAGAGGCCGTAGGTGGTCCGCTAGAAAGTCGAAACGTTATATAAATTCTTTCTGCCGGTTTTATGATTACTGTAAATCACCACCCTCTCCGCCTTTTCCTTTGGGTCTTTAAGTCTCCCGCCATTGTGCCTCCGACACAAAATGTTAGTCGCATACCTTTCGACTCGGCTGTGACAAAGCTGGCGAGTCGAATGCCAACCCTCCCCGGACCGGAAAAAATGCGAATTACTCGACTAACTGCGCTTCTGTTCCTCTCTGACCACTCCATCTTCCATTTTCTTTCTTCGGGGACGGCAAATATGTCTTTGTCTACCCATCGAAAATCTGATACCGGACTACGACTATTTCGAAACATAAATAAATAGAAGAAAGCGTTCGATTTATCTTCCAGGATCCTTTAATTGAGTTGCGACTATTTAAATCTGGTCTCCTCCTCTCCGGCAACCGATTAAAAGCAAATAAAAGGGGAGTTCCCCGATGACTATCTTTTACCATTTTATCATAATGCTAAGTGAGTTGTCGACGTCTTGTTTCGGAAGATACATTCTAGCAGTCGTTTACGGGGTCGGAGGTCATGGCGTCGTTTTAATACGTAAGTAAAGACATAAGAAATTCCACTTGGTTTTCGTCTATCCGAAAACTGGTTCTAGACTCATCCGGCTTTCTACCAGCGAGACCAGAAAAAAATGGCCAGCACAAAACGCACTAAAACTGCATAAAACATCACGCACGTTCTTAATAATCTTTCTGTCGCTGCCTTAAACTCTTAAAAGATGCAATACCCTATCGAAATTAATGCAGGTGGCTCGATCGAGAGCAACTATAAATCGCTTTATGTACAGATTGAAGTCGTGTAAAAGTTTACGGCGCTTAAAAACGCAAAAAACTTGCATTTTTTTCTTCTCTGGCATCTTTGGCAAGTTCTCTCGCATTTAGAAAGCGGTTTTTATTTAAATCGTCCAGGGATAATTTATGCAAAACTTTGCAAAATACAGTTTAAATGATTTACTAGTAAACTAAGGAACGAATATATAAGAAATTGACGGTCATTTATTGTACCGGATTCGGTATTTATTTCGACAAACAGAGGCAATTTAAAATGGAAATTTATAAAGCGAGTCGACTAATTTACTCGTCGATCAAATAAAAATAAACTGGAAATTTAAAAGGTCCCGAAGAATGCATTAATGTAATCGGATGGGTACAGGTGCGATAGAGCAATTGACACTCGGTCTAACCAGATCTTTTGCACCTGTACGCATCCGATAATATCGATGTCTGGGTAGACGTAAGTGCGTGGGGCTAACTTATCACTTCTTGCCGCAAAAAATTCGACCCACTTAACTGTCGCAAACGTTTTTATTTTGCATAAATACGACATTCGTGACAGGAGTCCATTCGGTTACGCTCGGTTTTTCTTCTAACGAATTTCCGATTTACTTTTTCCCTCCGATTCCATCATTACGTGCCAATTATCCGATTTTTTACTATTTTATTATCCGTATTTTTTTAACATGGCCTAACGGTCATCCTCTTTTTTCTTTATCTAATTCGTTGCTTTATCTACCGCTCTCTTCGCGTCGTTTATTTATTTCGCCTGCCGTTCTTTTGCATAAATCATTCTTCTGGACCTCTAAATTTTCCCAAAACGGACTCATTTTTGACATTTTTATCGCTAATAAATTCAAACCGTTGGCTCGCGGGTTAGCTAATTAGCAAAGTAGAGCTAAACATAAAAAAAAAAATCAACAAAGTTAAAGTATCGATTAAGCTCTGATAGTTACGTCTACTCGCCCGAAGAGCGGAGTAGTCGAAATGCCTGTCGTTGGCGCAGAAAAGCCACTTAAATAGCGTTTGTTTATACATTTTTCTTGCTAATTCTCGACGTAACACGTTACGAAGAGTTAATAAATCTCCACGCTAGTGTAACAAGACGTCCCTTGTGATCGATACTCGAGCACCGGCGTAATGAAACGCGCTCACGTTAGAACAGTTTGCAACTGTTGCGTATTGCGTATGTATTATTTATTCCTTTGTGTTTTTCCACACCAGACACGCCTGGTATAGAAAGACGAGCGCGTTTATTCCCGTCTTGGCTAAAGTTATTTTTCAGTCTGCAAAGTTGCGAGCCGGAAGCCGGTCGAAAAAAGTATACGTAGCGTATACCTAAAGTCGTGACTGTATATAAATCTACACAGTTGTACACAAGTCGATGAAGTGTAAACGCGGTT